AGGAGAAGAAGAAAAAGAGGCTAGGGTTTTATTGATTCTGCATAATGTAATTGAATGAATAAAACCTAGATACAAAGAGACTATATATAGTCTAAAATAAAGAAAACTTAAAAGACTATTCTACCCTTAATAAATAATGTTAACAAAATAATCATATATTTCTTAACAAATGTTACCAACTTACTAATAGAAGTGTAGTTTACAGCTTTGGAGTTGTCCTCATCGAGCTCATATCATCAATGCCTACCGTGGATATAAGTAGGCATCGACATGAAATCAACTTAGCCAACTTAGCGATAAGCAGGATCCAACGGTGTGCCTTTGATGAGTTAATCGATCCATCTCTGGGATTTGGATATGATGCTGAAGTTACAAGGATGGCTACTTCAGTGGTGGAGTTAGCTTTCCGATGATTGCAACTTGAAAAGGATCTGAGGCCTTCTATGGACGAAGTATTAGCATTTCTGAAGGAGATAAGGGGCGACGAGGAGTTAGAATTTGAGAATAAAAGGAGACTAATGATAATCACAGCTTTCCAAGAGGTGTAAAGATCCCACCTTCACTGAAACAGATGATGTTTTATTGTTGAAGAGCAAGTATTTACAATCCTCACCAAATGCTGTGACTGATGTGTGGATGATAAGTGGCTCTACAACAGCTAGTTCCAGTGGGTGAGATTTTTATTTTCATTTTCTTGTTTAAAGAAGTAAATTATGGTAAGAAGTTTCTTAAACACCCTTTATATTGTTTGCCAAATGGGTGGGGATTTATGCTTTCAACTTCACTAACAGTAAATATAGAACTAAAACCGAAAAATATGCCAGTAAATAATGTAGCTTTTTTTAAACATCTTGTTAAGTTGTTCTCTGGCTTGAATAATACGAGGAAACGTACAAAACAACATACAACATTTTTACTAGTTTTTATTCGTTCATCCTATCTTGTGTTGTTCAATCAAGTACGTCAAACATCCTGTGCAGAACAATAATTTTTTGTAAACTGATATGCATTCCCACCAGCACAAAATATACCACTCATCTGAGATGATGTCTCAATCTTATCGATCTGTCAAACGTGAAGCATTCCTAGGTTTCATTTGGATCCTGGATTTTGACAAGGAAATTGAAGAAATTTTCTAGGGATTTTTGCTTCTTTTTATTCATTTATTTTTTTTCCCCTTTTGGCCAGGGTTTTCGGATCTGTTTCATGTATGTAGTCTTGCTCTTAACCTAAAGTTCAATTCTTTGAGTAGGGAAGTAAAAGAAAAGGTTACGCGAATACTAAAATATATTGCAAACAACTGTTCACGCTTTTAAAAGCACCAATTTTTATATATGGTTGTTCAAGGGGTAAAGCGGAAAAGATACGAGCTGACATTGAAGAAGAGACGTGGAGCGAGATAGCTTGTTAGGCTACTATTCAGGGCTGGGAAAGTGCGAAGAAAGATCTCATGTCCACTAGACAATAATGAGTTATGATGGAGTTTCTCGATACATAGTATAGCATTTGATGAACCAAACCAACAGAAACCTCAAGAGACCACAGTTGGATATGACTCCTTTCTAGAAGGTAACTCATCCAGCGAAGGAACAATTCAACAACCGTCGCAAGCGCTACAAGAGGCATAGGACGTGTGGAAATAACGAAGAAGGTGAGGGATTTGACCCAGTGTAGCTAAATTAAACAAAAGAACAAAGGTTGAGATATGCATTCGAGTTTCATATTGGCCTCCTTAGTTTTAAGAAGAATAGCCTTCTAAGAATTACTACCATTTGGAAAAATCATAGATAGTCAAAGTATGATTATTAATACTTTGTTTACCATTTGGAAAAAATTGAAGATATATTAGAGTTGACAATTCTTATATTTTGATTATTTTTGTTTATGCCTTGTGATTTTCATACTTTGAACTTAGCCTACCGTAAGATTTTGTGTATGGTTTGTTAGATAGAGAAAATCAACACCTAACAATATTAAGAAAAATAGAAAATAAAATCTCGTCAATTTGAAAAATCATGTATCGTCTTGTATTTTGAGAGTACGACTTTATGAAGTTTAACAATGTTATGCAATAGCTTACTATTACGCCCTTCATGATCGCAAGAACTGAAACGACTAATGAAGCAGAACGGAAGTTCTATGTTTACAAACGTAAACCCAAACGAGAGAAAATTGCAATTCACAAGAAAATATTAGCCTCCAAAATTCAATGTCTATTCAGAGAACAAGAGCCTTTAAATAGTCTCTGGAGACCCTAATTTAAGCAAAAAACCAAAATTGACATCCACTAAATCAAATAAACTAAAAATGGAAAAACCAAAATAACGCTAAAACTTTGACTGCCGGTAGCACGTCTTAAACTGCGAATTTGAGGCTGGAAATGACGTCAACCGGGGTATCTTAGGGGATGGTATGGAGCGCTGAGAGACGTTTCCGAAAATATATTATAATAGAAAATCTGACATCGGTGCAAAAAGTTATGCCCGTTTCTTCGGAACAGTTCTTTTAGCCAATTTTCGGTCCAATTCTTCTTCAAACTCTAACGCCAATTGTCCTACATCAACTAAGACATGGGCAGTGTCTTGCTTCCATGTCAAACGCAACCTAATAGATTCGTGGCATGCAAACTTGAAAATCAATTGGTGGAAGTGTTCAAAGCTAGCTAGACGGATTTCACTGAGGCGGTTACTTTTGATAGTTATATGTCAAGGATTTTATATGTGCAAAGCAGTTTTTACAAGCAAGTTGGTTATCAGCCATGTTAGGGCAGTTTCCTTGGTGGGAAACATTTGAATTTTGATCCTAATGGTTGTGGGTGTTAGTAATACGAATTTTATATATACTCTTAAGACATGAGATATAGGGTATTGAGTGTATTGTTGTGCTCCTTGTCTAATTTTGTGAGTTCTCTTTTATTACGGTAATAAAAGTTGGGAAGTGTTTTCTGTATTTCGTGTGTTTGTTTGCTTATTCTGTCCGTTTCATTAAGTGTTGCAATTCTTCGTTAAACAAAGAAATTTGAGTGTCTTCGAGAGCTCATTGAGTGCGAAACTTAGTGCCATATAGGGAAAAAGTTACTGCAGAAAAATTGACCCTATAACATTTTCCATGCTGGTATAACCAAATGAAATGCATAGTTTCGTAAGAGAAGTTAGATTTCCAATCTATTTTTATTTGCCAATTTCAATTTCGAAACTAGCTTCCGCGATAATATTGTAAGCAATTTTATATGAAAACATACTATTTTTTGTTCCTCCTGCAGCATGGGTGACAAGAAAATATTAATTCCCATTCAATGCTCCCAAAATTTGTATCTGGGATGAGGATAGGAAACCTAAATAGAGATCTGAACTTGAGATGATCTCGAATAGTTCTTTTGAGTACCTAAAACAAAGGCTAATATGTAGGACATCGTATTTCATTCGATACTTAAGTTAGTATACGTGTGAAATTGCAAGTGTACGATATCGTCGAACTCGGAGTTAAGTGGACCTATAGAGTGCAAAATATCGTTTTCACGAGGACCATATTATTTATTATTTACCTTGTTATGAATTTGATCTCTTGAAGACCACTTAAATAAAAACTCCAATACTTACTAGAATTTATGTCAAATTACAACATATCTAAATTAATCCTACTTTTTATTTGAACCAATACAAAAATTTAAACCTTGTTTGAGCCACAAATCATTGTATGAGGAAAATACAAATTACCATTGAAATACATCACTATTTTAATGAAGAAAAAGAAGAAAGTGAAAGCAATCTTGCACCCTAATAATGAATGAAAAAGTTTCAATAAAATTTTCAAATCATAGTTCATTTCTTAGTATCTGTCAATTTAATCTTCAAGAATTTCTAAGAACTTGTGTTAATTGTCAACCCTAATAATGAATGAAAAAGTCCTATTTATTAGAAATATCCTAATCCCATAGAAATTCGTGAGTATCCTAATCCCATAGAAATTCGTGGGTCACAATTCAGACAAAACCCGTTCTTTTTGAACAAGTGAAGTCCAATTTGAACAAGTTCATGTACCATTCACGCATTTAACTCTCTATTTTGAAATATAAAGTGCCTTCAAATATATAACAAGATTCGAAAGGGAAACAATAAAAATTACAATTTCATCTTATACCTAACTTATCAATATTTCTTATGTTGGTTTATATA